AAAATAGGGGAGAGCTATAATGTATTCACCCAGGCATCAGCATTGATGTCCACACTTTGGTTAAGTTTTTTTCAATGCAAATTTGGTATCTCCAAAGCTACTGAAGGGAGGTGGGTTAAAAACTCCCACACACTTGTTCTCTGTGATAATCTAACATGATAGGCATTAGGTTCTGTAACTCTGAGTTACAGATTTAGTAGAGTTATGCCCCTTTCCTTCGTTACTTTCAAGAACTGAGAATACTTGTAAAGTGCAATGTCTTATGGACAGCTCTTTTTAAATCAGGATGCTTAATAAATTTTTCTTTGTAAATCATCCATGAGAAGACTTTAAGAAATCTATATATATATTCACAATTCAAGAAAAAATACATTCTATACTCCACTGATAATCTGGCTTTAAAAACTTTGCATTTCTGTTCATCATCATGTCCCAAATCTGTACACAGAGGGAGGTCACTCTATCAAGCATTTTGAGATAAATGCCCCTTTTTCGACTTAAAATTTGCATGAAAGTTTGCGCGTTCCACCTCATATAGTCCATTGACATATGACTTTCAGACTTGCACTTTTTGTTCACAATTCATAATCTCACACTTTGGTTTAATGTTCAGTTTTAAACACTATTTATAATTTTGTGGTGAATGTTAAAGTCATTATGTTTATTGTAGGCAATGGACATATTTTGACGTGTCGGAAGGGTTTTAATTTCATTAGAGGAGGGACTGTCACGTGTGACCTGCCCCGTGATGTGATTGGTGTACAGACAGACATTTTGTTTCCAATCTCCCAACAGAGGGAGCTGGCATCAGCTCTTCAGACAGCAGGTTTGCTTTATACTGGCATAATTTATTTCATACATGTTGCATTGCATTGAGAGGTTATTTTCAAAATGGAAGTTGTTTAAAGGCACATTGAACCTTAGAAATGAAAACATTTTGGTCTTCTTAAGTGTGGTGTTGGTAGTTTTCACTCCAAATCACGGCAGTAAGCCACATTGAATTTACCAGAGCACAGTTCAGTCACCGCATCATTCCTTGGAAGGCTGTCAAGCAGTTTACCAGTACTAGTTGCCTTCATTTTTGCATGGAACTGATTACTTCTGCACAACCGTGTAAATGATTTCATGATCAATCACAACCAAAGTGACTGCACCGTCCGGGAATCGAACCACAGTCCAATGCTCTACCTATTGAGCTTACTGGACCTCTACATGCGCATTTTTAATGCCTTACATTGAAGTGTTACTAATGGAATAAAAGTTTCATCATGTTACTATACTTCTGTTTATATTCAGGTAACAAAGCTGTGACATATTATGAATTAAACTCTGTGTATGGTCATGACACATTTCTGCTGGACTTAAATGGCGTAGGTGCCGGTGTTAAGGTAAATCTTTAAAGCCCACTAAAATTTTGTTGTTAATTTGTAGGCTTTAATTACATTAGGACTTGTGTTGTTGGTGTGTGAGTTATTTTATTTTTATACACCAGTGGCAAATTGTGTTGCATACAAAATTAAGGTCCCTCTGGCCAAGGTCATTTGTTAAAAAAAGTGGCTGAACAATAATTGTCAGAACTGTTCACATAATATGTTTGGTTTTCTATAGCAGTAAAACGTATAAATGCAGTAGAATTACTATACAACAGAATTACTAATAGCTCAGTTATACACGTCACAGAAACTTGAAATTCTATCAAATAACAAATACAATGTATTAACAATAATATCGAAAACATCAAGACGACATGTAACGACTAAGACCCATGTCCCTAGCTGGAAGGTCAAGGTCACACTTATAGTTTGAACCGAGAAGAGTTTAAAGATACACATTCATCTCCGGAGTGTAACTTTGTCATGCATGGAAGGATTTTAAAATAACTTGGCACAAATGTCTACCACATCAAGACAATATGTCGCGGTTAAGGCTCATGTCCGTCTGTCCGTCCGTGTGTCCCCACATACACAACAATCATGTCCAGTCTGTAACTTTGTCATGCATTGAGGGATAACTTGGCACAAATGTCTATCTGATAACAACATTCTGTTGGGTCCAGGAACCATGTCCCTTCTTCAAAGGTCAAGGTCACACTTATATTTTGAAGTTTCACGCTATCACAATTAGAGATTACAGGTACAATAATACAAAGAATAATATTAAGCAATTAGTTACTTTCATTCTCTTTTCTTTTCATAATACCTGCATGCTTAAAAAACCTTTTCGGGGGCATTCGTCACTTGGGTGACAGCTCTTGTTTTAGATATTATCCTTAATACTGGTTATTTGACAGAATTTCAAATTCCAGGGTGCACATAATAAAAACCTTGCTGTATAACTAAATTGTTGTTCTCGTTTTTTTTCCAGGGCTTTATTGAAACAAGGACATCAAAAAATGGCTTGGCATCAATACCAGGTTCTGAGGCAACGATACCAGATTCTGAGAGGAAGTGCTATTAAGACGGCTTCTTACAGCATCACAATATATGCAAAAACGTTGTGAATATAAGTGATTACATTTGTATAAAAAAAAAGATATGCAAATTTTGAACATGTTTATTTAGCCTTTTGAGCACTTGTGTAAAATAAGTATTATTATATAGACATACATGTATTTATTGAAACCCTATGAGCAGTTAATGAGACATTTTTCACATTATATGTACTATACAAAAACTGTTTTGTTTGTATTTACAGATGTATCAGTGCGATGACTCTGTGAATATGTAATATGTAAATGAGTTTTAATTAGTAATAATTACTGAGTGATAATGAAAATATTATAAATGCCAAATGAATGCATTTTAAAAAAATATATATACACTAAGATGTACTGGGTTGGTGATCACACAGAAGATTGTAAAAAGCACTGGTAACCATATGACCATAACTTTTATTATAATACATAAAATATACTGGATTACCCTTCTATAGTATAAATATATCTTTAATACCCTTAACCTGCTGAATTTCCAAAATGGACTTTTCCAATTTCCATTTTGGAACAGTCCATTATCTATTTTAGGTATATCAAGGTGAGAATTTGAAGTTGGCCAGCCAACTGTATAGAGCCTGGTCAGACTGCAGGATGTGCAGGCTGGCCTGGCTCTATACTGGTGGCAAAGGCTAATCACTGTTGCCTTCAGCAGGGTAAAGGTTAAGTGCTTTTTGTGTACTGGTCTGACTACACTGTGATACTGTTTAAGTTACTTTAATTACTAATAGAAAAGATTTATGTATGCTAGTTTAAATGAGGGTCCATCGGTCCTCTCTGGCACTAAGAGTATGCGCCCCTTATAAGAACAGAAACGTTATTTTATGTATATATACACACAGTAGGGCAACAAAAAGACTATGTTTACAATGATATTTATTCTATATTATTTTCATATCAAAAATATAGTTGTATAAATAGCAGCTTCACAAATAACTTTTTTCATATTTGTCAAAAAATCTCATAGATATTTATATATTCATCTTGTTGTACATACTGTCTTGTTTCCTTTTTGTTGTTTTTGTTTTACAATCAATGATTAAAATTTTGTTGTTGTTTTTACCTTACAATGATTCAAGCTTGATATTTTATTTCTATGTTTCCTTTGTAAAATTCAAAGATGAAATGATTTTATTGGAGTAGTCATATAGATTTTGATAATTTACAACTGAAATTATTATTAGATCACACAACCTAAAATGGTAATTTGTGGGGTTTTTTGATGCTCCTCATACATGATTCAATGTTTACATGTTATATGTATATATATAATTTTTGGACTTCTATTTTGTTACTGGAACTTTTTTGTAAAAATGTTTCAGAAAACAACTTTTAGATTCCATTTTGTAACAAGAACAGTTCATTTGACATTAAATTTTGATTTGGCAATGATTGTTATGAATTTAAATGTGTCTTTTTAATATGATCAGAGCAATAATTATTTGTATTTATTAAGTTATAAATATATTTGGGTTATGTAATTTCTCCACTTATTTCTGAATATTATTTGTCAGCATGAACTATTCTTAGCCACAGTGGTTTAAGTACATTGTATATTGTCAACTTTGTAGCAAAACTTTTGGTTGATTCGATGCATTTATGATAATTGTAATAGTTACAAAAAATTTGAAATTTTTTAAATAAGAAATGGAAAAATGTGCAAAAAAATAACACAATAACACTGATTACTTAAATTGTTTTGAGTTAGTGAATACACAAGAATTACTATTCCAAACCTACATTAAATGGTACACAAATCTTGGAAAAAAACACAGTTGTGTCTCTTTGACTATTTTTTTTAAATAGAACTTGTCTATTTATTTGAAAGAGCCTAACTTTGTTATATGAGTAAGAGCACGATCTTTAAAGACTTCACTTACAGTAATTTAAGTCCGTGGTAAGAGTCATGTAAATAGTCAATCTGTTTTAAAACACCAAGATCTTTTCTTTAGATATGTACATGTATGCATATAAGGTGAAGGGAGGGTTTGTGAATTTTCATTTAGTAAAATACTCTAATGGAAATAATATGCAAAATGTCATCAGGTAATTTGTGTACAGTATATTATGTACCAAATAATGAGAGTGTACTTCATGTATATTTTTTTCCTGATCTCTTTAAGATGCATATCTTTTCATAAATTTAATTTTAAAATTTTAACAGCAGTAATATATTGTAATAATAATAAATTATGCAAACATTGTTCATGTTTTCAGATATTAAACTATAATCAAGCTAAGCTCTTTGTTTTTGTTAACCGTAAGCCTGGCGACGGCTGATTCAGAAACAAGACACTTCACCCTACAAACACTTAACCCCTCAAATTGAATCTACCCGTGAGACCAGTGCTTTCAAGAACAGCTGGTATTCTTGATCCGGTCTTCGTTATACCTGATTACCTGTCAAGCGAACAAGTCATTTTATGTTCATGGAAAATGTTGTGGTGGATATACCAACTATTCCCAATTACATTGAAATAAAAGTTTTAACTTTTAATTTAGTTACAAAGAAACTAGTTTTTGTGAAACATATATATTAAAACCTTAATCAATTTGTTTGTGTTGTTGATGGTCTTTTTTTAGCTCACCAGAGCCGACGGCTCAGGGTGAGCTATTAGTATCAAAGGGGTTTGCTCCGTCGTACTCCTTCATGCGTCAACAATCGTCTTCTTCTCTGAAACTACTAAGTAGATTTACTTCAAATTAAGTCTGTAGCATCCTTGTGACAGTCACACTTATATTTTCTCATGTCATTCCAATTGGTCCCTTTTAGGGGTCAGCAGAGCTAAAAATAGAAAAACCTTTAAACATCTTCTTCTATAGAACTAATTGATGGATGATCACCAAACTTTGTCTGTAGCATTCTTGGGTAGTCTTTTATCAAGTTTGCTCATATCAATTTGATTGGCCCCTTTTAGGGGTCTCTAGGGCTAAAAATAGAAAAAACCTTTAAACATCTTCTACAGAACTAATGGATGAATGATCACCAAACTTTGTCAGTAGCATTCTTAGGTAGTCTTTTATCACGTTTGCTCATAATATTTTGATTGGCCCCTTTTAGGGGCCACTAAAATTAAAAATAGATATACGTTTAAACGTCTATAGCTTCAGAACTAATTGATGGATGATCACCAAACTTTGTCTGTAGCATTCTTGGGTAGTCTTTTATCAAGTTTGCTCATATTAATTTGATTAGCCGCTTTTAGGGGCCGCTTAAGCTAAAAATAGATAAACCTTTAAACATCTTCTCCTACAGAACTAATTGATGGATGATCACCGAACTTTGTCGGTAGCATTCTCGGGTAGTGTTTTTTCAAGTTTGCTCATATTAATTTGATTAGCCCCTTTTAAAGGTCACTAAAGCTAAAAATAGAAATACCGTTAAATGTCTATTTCTAGAGATCTAATTGATGGATGATCACCAAACTTTGTCTGTAGCATTCTTGGATAGTCTTTTATCAAGTTTGCTAATATTAATTTGATTAGCCCATTTTAGGGGCTGCTTAAGCTAAAAATAGAAAAACCTTTAAACATCTTCTACTACAGAACTAATTGATGGATGATCACCAAACTTTGTCTGTAGCATTACTGGGTAGTCTTTCATCAAGTTTGCTCATATTAATTTGATAAGCCCCTTTTAGGGGTCTCTAGGGCTAAAAATAGAAAAACCTTTGAAAATCTACTTCAGAACCAATTGATGGATGATCACCAAACTTTGTCTGTAGCATTCTTGGGTATTCTTTTATCAAGTATGCTTATATTAATTTGATTAGCCCCTTTTAGGGGCCACTAAAGCTAGAAATGGGAAAAAAACCTTCGAACATCATTTCCTACTGAAATAATTGATAGATGATCACCAAACTTTGTAGCATTCTTAGGTAGTCTTTTCTCAAGTTTGCTCATATTAATTTGATTAGCCCTGTTTAAGCTAAAGCTTAAATACCCCAGGTTTAAACATATTCTATGCTCAAATTTAATATTAGAATATATTGACATTCCAACACTGAAAAGCATTTGTTTCTGGTGAGCGACTCAGGGCCATCATAGCCCTCTTGTTTAATAATCTTGATACAAAACAATACAACGTTAATCCAATGCAACAAAAGTAAAAATCCGATACAAATGACAAAAAAAACACTTATACGGTACATGTGTTTGTTTCCTGCCTATGACTTAAGTATGTTGAAATATGACCTCACTTGATTATCTACGTGCTATGATACATAATATATAATTACAAGTGCTATATTCATCAAAATGTAAATAGGGCACAGTCTAAAACGCGGACGCCTTAAGCGGACAATATAAACATATAGGGAAAACGCTGACGATATAGACAAAGAGGAAAAAAGCGGACGATATAGATATATAGTGTAAAATGACTGAGCATAGTTAAATTCATATTAAAGGCTAATAATTGGCTTTTATAAAGTAATATATGAAAGACATTAGTTAGAAGCAGTAGTAATTGTAAGGTGTAATTATTATAATAATTAAAAAAGACTTTAGTTTATTTATTTGTTCAAATTCTTACATTTATGTTTTTTATTTGTTCATGTTAATTGAACTTTTAATTAAACAGTACAAAACATGCAACAGTCACGTGTGGAAAACTGAATAAAGGCACAAGAAATAAGTTTGAATATATTTGAACACTTTGCATACGCAATTCGCGGACATGATAAACATATAGGGAAAACGCTGACAATATAGACATAGAGGAAAAAAGCGGACGATATAGATATATAGTGTTACTGTAGATTGACATTCTTTTAAAATATACAATTTACTATGATTTGTAATTTACTTTTGTTTCTATATTGCACATTAATTGACATATTCGCCGAATCTTCTTTTGTGTACATATATAATAATAAATTATGAAATAGTGGGCGAATGAGTATATTTTGGAAAATTAACGTTTACCGGTGAAAATACACGTGTTGCAAATTAACTTAAAGCATTACAATTAAGTGTGATATGTATATAATTAAGTTATATCAATTATCTTTCTTTAATTCATAATATTTTTTAGTTTTATTTATATTTTATCCATTAAGTAAATAAAAAAACTTTCTGCTATAAATACCAATCAACTAATTAAAGTATCCACGTGTCACCTGTGTATTTGACTTAATCACGCACCGACACTTGTATATTTCAAGTAATCATACATCTCACCCTTGTACAATTAATAAAGTGGCTACAGAAAATGCGGACAATATAGACATAGTGAAAAAGCGGACGATATAGATATAGAGGGAAAACGCTGACGAAATAAATGTATAAAACGGGAGAATAGAAAACTGTTATAAATAAAAAAAAAATCTGGCTTCTACCATGTATATAATTAAGTTATATCAATTATCTTTCTTTAATTCATAATATTTTTAGTTTTATTTATATTTTATTCATTAAGTAAATAAAAAAAAACTTTCTGCTATAAATACCAATCAACTAATTAAAGTATCCACGTGTCACCTGTGTATTTGACTTAATCACGCACCGACACTTGTATATTTCAAGTAATCATACATCTCACCCTTGTACAATTAATAAAGTGGCTACAGAAAATGCGGACAATATAGACATATAGTGAAAAAGCGGACGATATACATATAGAGGGAAAACGTTGACGAAATAAATGTATAAAACGGGAGAATAGAAAACTGTTATAAATAAAAAAAAAATATCTGGCTTCTACCATGTATATAGTTAAGTTATATCAATTATCTTTCTTTAATTCATAATATTTTTTAGTTTTATTTATATTTTATTCATTAAGTAAATAAAAAAAACTTTCTGCTATAAATACCAATCAACTAATTAAAGTATCCACGTGTCACCTGTGTATTTGACTTAATCACGCACCGACACTTGTATATTTCAAGTAATCATACATCTCACCCTTGTACAATTAATCAAGTGGCTACAGAAAATGCGG